GAATTTTATTCAAAATAATTTTAAAAGGTACAATAACTGCTATAAAAATTTCAAATTGATATCCTCAGCCGTTCTCCGTAAACGTCTAAGGTAGGTACCATCGCTGGTGAGACACCCTGTATATACATATATATACATATATATATATATATATATATATATATATATGTATATATATGTATATATATATATATATATATATAAAAAAACTTTTAAAGAATATTTTATTAGTAATAAAAAATATATTTATTAATTTTGCTCAGAGGCACTAAAATTATTGCAGCAAGCTGGTTGTTTTGACAGCAACACAAGCTTCGATAGTGATTCCGACTAAGAAAGTTGGGCAACTAAAGCTATATTTTTCCTGGTTGTTTACTTAAATAATTATTTTCTGTTATTGCAATTTTATAGTTGTTATTAAAGACTTATATGAGTGAGTATGAGTATGGGAACGTATGGCAGGCCCCAAATATATTATCCTCCACTAATCTCCCGGGGTTAATTTACCCCCTTTCCGTTCTCCTGCGTTTCCCGCCAAATCACAGCATTAACTGTGTTTGTTGGATCTGAAGTTTTTACGCCGGCTGGTAGATCCACCCTAGGAGGTCGTGGATGACAGTGTCAAAGGTTAAGGCCGCTCCCGGATTTTAGTCAGCCGGGTCGGGCCATACGTCCAGTTTAGGAAGGGTTTTTGGAGGACATTGAACTAACCCAAAACTAAGTACAATCCGGAATCCTTCTCAACCTGGGCCTTAGTAATAACCCCATTCAATTGGGATTCATGAATGGGGGTAGAAGTGTTAGTACGCTGCTAGAACCTGTCCTTGTTGGTGTATTTCTGAACATCTCTGTCCGAGTCAGTATCAGGTTCCTGGTAACCTCTTTAGAATTGTTTGCCCCCCTGTGTGATACTGAGTCTTGTCTTCCGTAGCGAAGTGTTGACGGCCCTGACACACCGTGGGTGCCCTCTCCCTTGGTGGATATTCCTCCTGCCAAGTATCGGCTACCCACCTTGCAGGCCCGTAGCCAGAAATTTGGTTTGGGGGGGGGGCAAAACGTAGTAATAATTTTTTGGGTGGTAGGGGGGCGGAAATGGTTGATGGATAAATACCAGTAAAGCGTGAAGTTGTCATAAAAAATATGGCTTGTAATCGATAGACATATTTTTAAAACATGATTCACATATTTAGGAAAATTTTGGGGTTCACGGAATTTCGGGGGGGGGCCGGGCCCGTCGGGCCCTACGGCTGGCTACGGGCCTGCCACCTTGTATATTCCTTATTTATTTTATTGTTAAATTAGTATCTATATAAATTCAATATAAATATCAATTAGTCAATACCAATACTAATACCAATTAATACAAATAATCAATACCAATATCAACCAATTAATCAATCAATATTAATATTAATATTAATATCAATATCTATAATACCAATATTAACATTATTACCAATAATATCAACATCAATACCAATACCAACACCAATAATATCAATACCAATCAATCAATCAATTAATTTATTAATTAATTAATCAATCACTTTAAATACCAATATACAAAATAGATAAAGCCGGCCCTGTAGTGTATGAAATGGAATGCGACCATATGGCTTGCATTGGCTATTGAGTGGATCGTTCTTCTTATCTTCTGTGTATTTATTTGGCTTTGATTTATGGCTGTAACCCTAAATGCATATACAATATTAACTATTCAAACACAACACTTATTAAATAAATTTTATGATATAAATTTTTGTCTTCTTGCTTGATTTGGTTTATTTACTCTTACGCCTTTTTCAATGGTTGTTTATAATTTGTCTGCTATGAGAAAATGAGGTTGTTTATTTAACACTTACGGAAATTTTCTTATTATTTTTTAAAATTTAGTTTTTGAGACAAATAAAAAGAGTTCATAGATTTTTTGACAACATTATGAAATGCTTATATAAACATTTAACGATTATACGGTAAGACCTGCAATTAGAAAAATTACTTAGTTTGATTATTATGATTTGTCTTTCGCGGGCTGTCCGTTGTTCCTTCACCTGCAGGTTTTTGGCACGCTCTGATCCAGGTGTGCCGGTTGGCTTATCGTTGTGGCCTAGCCTTAATTACTTATTCACTTGCACACTTTTACGGCGTTATCCCGCAATTTTCGCACTGTTGCACTTTTCGCACTTCTCGCACTTGTTTGTTTATTTATTTATTTATTTATTTATTTATTTATTTATTTATTTATTTATTTATTTATTTATTTATTTATTTATTTATTTATTTATTTATTTATTTATTTATTTATTTATTTATTTATTTATTTATTTATTTATTTATTTATTTATTTATTTATTTATTTATTAACGATTACCGATATTTCCGGATACTTGACGCGTCCGACCGCTTCGAGTGTCAGGACCCAACTGGTTGTTATTAAAGACTTATATATATAGCATTTTAAATAATTTTTTTGCATACTTAACTCAGCTTTTTCAATCTTATACCTTCGGCTTTGTTTTGATTTTTTGCTGACATAAGATGCTCAGAGGCACTAAAATTATTGCAGCAAGCTGGTTGTTAACAAAATTTTGATAGCAATACAAGCTTCGATGGTGATTCCGACTAAGAAAGTTGGGCAACTAAAGCTATATTTTCCTTGGTTGTTTACTTAAATGATTATTTTCTGTTATTGCAGTTTTATAGTTGTTATTAAAGACTTAAATTTAAAATATAGCATTTTAAATAATTTTTTTGCATACTTAACTCAGCTTTTTGAATCTTATACCTTCGACTTTGTTTCGATTTGGTGGGTAAAGTTTGCAAAATAGCAAAATATTGTTAAATTTTACTCTGGTCTTACAATCTTTCGTTGTCTGGGCAGGTGTTTATAAGTAAAATTAACTTATTTTTCTTTGTCTTTGATAATTATATTATTAAATTTGATACATTTGTTGAGTTTGATATTTTTCAATGTTTTACAAAATCCTGGCCCGCAGTGCGGCGTCTCCTTAATTTCGCAGAGAACCAAACGATTCGCATAGCCCTCCCTCGTGTTGTCACTCTCTCGACCTCTCTGTCGAACAGTGACCCAAGTTTAGATCCACTTTTCAGCGGCTTAATACGGCGCGTTACATTACCAGTCTTACGTTGTATCATGATCATCATGACATGATGGAGACAATGACGATACATAAATGGCAGGTGGGCGGCCGTGTATACGAAAAGGTCCACCTTGTACAAAAATGGAATCTCGGTCGCGCGCGGCGGGCCGGCTAGGGTAATCTATAAATTGGATTTAATAGATTTAGAGCGTTTAGAGTTTACCCATAACTAACCTGTGTTTAATGTTGGTATTGTCGTGTTGTCGTATATACCAAAGTACAAAAGTGCTCTTTTAGTTCCATCCTTACTTCCTAAGAAGTTTCAGAAGCCAACTTGAGCGGGTTAGGGGTATTGTGATATTTCTTACCCACTGGGAAAGAAACCTTACAAAATATTGCTGCAATGTTCGCCGACTTTACAAATAAAATATTTCCTGTGCTACTTGCATTAACATAAATGAAATGTTACATTTGAAATATTGCATATAATAATTTCCAACAACCTTAAATTTGAAACATTATTTAAAGATTCACATGAAAAGTTTTTAAATTGTTATATTTGTAACATTTAGTATAAAATGTTGCATAAAAGTTTTTAAACATTACAATTATAATATTGCAGACTTAACTTTCTTTCAATGTTTCAATTGAAATATTAACACAAGTTTCAAATGTTTGCAACTATACTTTAAATATACAATAGGAAAATTTATTTTGAAATGTTTGGGAATATTTTTGAAACATTGCAATTATAATATTACATTAATAGGTTTTGGGCAATGTTTCATCCGAAATATTACATTAAGATGATTTTTGCAATGTTGCTTTATATAAACAGTATAAACATTTAATTTGCAAGATTTTTGGAACATTGTAACTCTAATATTACATCTATAATTATAACTTTAGTTTTGGACAATGTTTCATCCGAAATATTGCATACTGAGGTCTGCTGACGTTTAAATTACATTGCTAACGTCATTTAAACGTCCGCAGACGTTATTTAAACGCCCGCAGACGTTATTTAAACGTCCGCAGACGTTATTTAAACATCAGCGCACGTTAGTGTGCTATTTGGGGAGAAAAGGCTAAGAAATTGTAAAAAAATGGCAGAGAAATGGCGGAAAATGGCAGATTTTGGCAGAGAATTGGCTGAGATACGGCTGAAAAATTGCTGAGAAATGACAGAGAATGGCAGAGAAAATTTCCGCAAGTGTACTATTACGTCTGCCAAGTTTTAATTTATGAACAGTTTCTTGGGCAGAAAAAAAAGAAATTAATTATTCAATACCGAAAACCCCATGTTATTCAGATAGGAAACTTACATTGGAAGGTTATTAACCCGGGGATAATATTAAGATATAGACCTAAAATTTGAAGAAAACTTTTTTAAAAATTTATTTTGAATCCTTTTGATCCCCTGGGAGTATACAAATTCAAACATTGTAAAAATAAGGACCACCCTCATATCGTCGGTTTACTGCAAAAACCAGATAACTCCCAAAACACTGTTTTGAGTATTTTGAATTTGTGTTATTTTCATTGGATCAATTTAATAAAAATGTAGTTATACCATTTTTGTTACGCTCTTCATTGATCGGTTTAATTGATTCGGTTATGCTTGTAGTTGAGTTGACCTTGCAGAAACAATTATTAGTTTAAAAATTTACTAAAGTAAAAAAATTTAAAAATGGAGTTATCTTATTTTTGCAGTAACCCGGCGATATGTATGTTTAATATATATTATATTAACACATTAAAATGACAAAATAAATTATTTAGCATATTGAAAATAATAATTAATAGGAATTAGTAGGTAATCACGTTTTACCAAACTTTAACTAACTTAATTGCCATTTTACTCACTTAACTGTTGTTAAATAAATTTTGCGTTTTTAGATTGATGGTAAACAACCCAGGTACAGAATTAAATTAGATCAAACTTTACAAATTATAACACTACATGAAACGGACTCAGGAGTTTATTTATGTACAGCTGACAATGCTCACGGGGAAAAAATAACAAATGAAATTAGATTGGACGTTGCAAGTAAGTAATAACATTTATTAGGTAGGTATATTAAAATTATTTTATATGTATATGTATATGTATATGTAAACATTAAATATATAAGGGGTGGTCTCACAAAACTGTTAAATAAAATTCATGCATCAAATAAACCTATTATTTATGTATTCATTCTAAAATGTATACGCTGTTAGTATTATAATTCAAACATTAAAAAAAAATGTAAATAAATTGTATGTGTTTTACCACAATTCTTACTTTAAAACCGCAAAGCTGCAACAATTGCATAAAACAAGTCTTTATAAATGACAAAATGTTGGTCGATTGTTTTAATATTGGCTACACAAATCATCCGATTTTTTCAGAGTGGACTACCCTGTATGTATTATGTAAAATCTTTTGTATTATTTGGTTTGGGAATGTTATTTTATATATGTATAAAATATATAATATATTTACATAAATGCATATTAGGGTGTTCCAAAAATAAAAATAAAAATTTAAATGGGTAAATACAAAAAATTTGTATAAGCATCTCAAATAATATTATTAAATAATGATATTAGCTTGCATTGTTCTAATTCATCGGTTCTAGAGTGCTGACTACTGAAAATCTTTTTGTTGAGATATTGGGATGTCAGCCATTGTATCATGGATGTCAGCCATGTCGGGCTGACTTAATAAATTGTACAAAAAGCATATATTGGCTAGTAAAGTGTTTTTGAGGAAAATTATAATTTCTGCTATTAGCTTTATTATAATTTGGTCTGTTAAATATCAGAGGTAAGATACCAACTAATTAATCAAAAACTACTAGGTAATGCGAATATTAACGAAAGCGAGCCTTTCGTGATGTAATGTACTTTCATGGAAAGTGCCCTAAATGTTATTGTTTTGGTCATAAACAAAGAGATTGTAATCGAGAGGAAAGGATCAATGTAAATACTTTGGATAAAAATCTACCAGGTATTCCATCAAATGAACAAATAAATGTACCCAATATCAAAATGTGTACGTTTTTCCAAAATAAAGGTCATACTGTATTTGTTATCATAAACATGAAGTGCCAAAGCCAGTAATGCAAACTCAAAACAAGATAAAAATAATACTGTGATCTACAACCGGTCTTCTATAAACCACGTGATTAGGAGACCGATATGATATATTATACTGCGTTAAGAAAATGATTAAAGAACAACTGGGGACAGGAATAAAGTTTTTTTTATAGAGGGTCAGTCGAAAAGTAAAAAAATTGAAAATTCCCTACGTCATCAACGTATTTTTTTCATAATTTCGTAAAAAACGTTTAAAAACATGGAAATTGTTACAGTTCTTGGTAAACAATATGCATATAAATAATATTTGTTAAAAGCAATTTTAAGGGCAGTAACTTTACTGCTTTAAGTTGGTAATGCTAATAACGTCATTACACCGCATTGATGACGTGCACCCATGAAGATTTGGCCGCGACTATACAAGGTTTTGTGCTCAAACTTTGTATAAAGGTATTTGAGGCACGTCCAAATCGAATGTGCTATCCATTTTTTCGAAAAAAATTGCCTTATGGTCTCAGGCCTTTAAAAAAAATTAAAAAAAAATATTAAATTAACAATTAAACTGTTGTAAAAAAGATGGCTCAAAATCTCTTAATCGGCAAAAGTTAAAAAAATGTATTTTTTATAGAGCGTAAAATACTACTACTAATACTAAAATATTCTATATTAAGATAGTTTGTAAGTATACTTTAGTAGCCGTTTACAAGAAAAAAAAATTGAAAATGAAAAAAATTTTAAAGGCAACCCTTAATATCAATATTAATTAAAGCTTATATTTGATATATTATTTGAGATTTTTATATGCGTATTATATGCATTATTATATGCGTTAAAAAAATAAAATGCCCTAATATAATTATATATTTTATATTTTATGTAGAATTAGTGTTGATTCTAATAAAACTTTTACTAATTTAGATTCAGAACCTAGACCAGCTAGTGTTTTGGAACAAGATGAACAACCTAATGTAGTTATTTCTTTAAATGCACCTACAACACTTGATTGTTTTGCTCTTGGTTTTCCATATCCTGATGTAACTTGGTGGAAGGATAATAGCATGATTCCTTTGCAAAATAGAGACTTCGAAGTTCGAAAAGACTATTCCTTACATATTAATAACGTAAAACTGCATAATCTTGGAGTGTACACCTGTCAAGCTTACAATGGTGTAGGAAAGGCTGCTAGCTGGGCTGTTACTGTTAAGGCTCGGGGTCCTTTCTATAGTAATGATCCCAAAGATGCACAATATTTGCAATATATTGTTAATCCACCTGACGAACCCTCCTATACCTATAAACCAATAATAGATACAACTTCATATCCCAATTATGTTCTTACTCCTGATCCATATTTAACAGCTACATACCCCGAACTTGACCCAAATGAAATTTCACCCACTAATACGTATTACCCGGATATCCAAATTGGTAATTAATAATTTAATTAATCCAAATAAATCACTAACAAAACTTAAATAAGTTTGAATAAAATGATTTTATTACTTGAACTTATTATATTAATACTAATATAAACTTAACGACAATTGCATGCTGTTGGTTTACTTTCTTTACCTGGTTCAGGTTTTAGTGTATATTTTTCATCAATAATAAACAATTACATTTATTTACTATACACGATTTAGATAAAAATAAACATAAACCTTAGGTATACTCATCGCAAATATTCAAATTTTTTAAAGGTTGGTGTACCTAATTATAGGCTAATTACCTAATTAAAATTTAATGATAATAATTTAATTTTTTGTGTATACAAGGTTTAGAAAGTACAACAAACTTTTTATTGGATAATTCACTTTAATTTAATATTTTTAATTTAAAAGACAACTTGGTAATTTTTAGATTTTCATTTGCTCTAAAAATGTGTGATGGATTTTTTTTATTTTGTAGTTAAATGATAATACTGTTTGTTTTCTATCTGTATATTCTTTATAACAAAAATTAAATTTATTTTGTAAACATTTCAGTTCCTGTAAGTGTTAATACGCCGTTGGAAAGTGTAACAAGTGTAACTGGAGCAGATATTACAATTCCATGTGAAGTTCGAGGAAATCCACAACCCAAAGTGGAATGGTATAAAAATGGGAATGCCTTATACACATCTAATAAAAATAAAATCTTAGGTGAGAATTAATAAATTACATACTGTATTTAGAACAATTGACGCGCTTCTTACAAAAACAGCCAAAGTACAAAAATGTCTAATTATTTTTTATTTAAAACAATCACCCCCTACAAACTTGTAAAGATAGACTTGTGCTGTTTGAATCTATTAATTTGTCATAAAAATATCCATTTTTAATGTCATATACATTATCTTGCTTAATTAACGATTCCTGCCTCAAAATAATAATTTAAAATATATGTGTACGTGGGACGTGACTATTGTATTATAATAAACAGTAAAATTAATGGAAAAATTAAAATACCTATATTTAAAAACATTACAAAAATGTATGGTACAAAAAACAAATACACTTAAAAATATCCCAATAAACATTTGGACGTAAAAGCGACGTCGTCTGGGGCGACCCGACGTCGTATGACTCACATGACGACCATCATCGGTTGCTGACTACTGAAGTCGAGATTTTTACCTATTTCGTCATTACGCTGCACAAACAACTAGTCGTGCGTTAATAAAATAACTTAATCTCTACCAATATTGTAGAAAGACATAGAAATGCAAAAGATGTCGTTTATGGAATGAACACGTATAACAATCCCTTGCGGCCTTCATCACCGTAAATTGACTGTGAAAACACCGCAAATTGTAAGTGTAAGATTCGAACAATCTGCTAATTGGTTATTCCCAATACAATACAAATATCGCAAGAGGGCTCTCGTGTAGTAGAAAATAATTTTATAGGATCAGATAGTGAAGAATTTCAAATTTTTTAATAATTTGAAAAAAAACAAAAAAGATACTATGGAAAAAATAATTGTAAAAATCAGCTAAAGTTTGAAGCAGTTATTTTTGATGTTAAAAAAAGATATATTAGAATTTTTTTTGTTTATGTTATTTTTTAAGGTATATTTTTCAAAATAAAGATCGTTTTATTTTGTTTGGTTTAATATTTTTTATAGTTTAATCACAAAGTTTGCACTACTGCACTTTTTGTACATGTTTTGATAAAAACCTATTTGTTCAAATTTTTCTTTTAATTAGGTATTATTTTTGGTGATATTCTAACTTTATATATAGTCCCTAGTATCCCCAAAACCTCAGATCAAAAAAATAATATAAATAATAATTTTAAAAGGTAGGTGTCTCTCAGACCCCTTAGTACCGTTTATGAACTGAAAGTCGTACCGTACCGGTTACGGGTTTAAAAAAAAATCGAATATTTGGTTCCAAAAATTGGGTTTTTGGGATAAATGTTGTTCACAAAATGGGTTTATTTGTGCAATAACTACATTTCTACAAAAAATCTTTGTAGGTCTAAATTGGGGTATATGAAGCTCGAAAATACAAACAGACATAAAAAAAATTCTAGCTAACTTTTACAAACCCAGCGAAAGTTTTGCTATTGGATAGGTATATGTTCAGAAAAAAATGGTCCGGTGCGGTTTGATTTCGAAGACCCGAAAATTGTCGCACAGTGTAGGTAATTTAACGACAAATTTAAAATTGTCTTTAAAAAATCCAAATATTACAGATTTTATTAGGCAGAAAGACTTCGGTCGATAGCCTTTTGGTTTTTCCAATAAATATATTTACCACTACTACAGATTTTATACCATTTTAAATATTTTTTTATTTTAATAAAACAAATTATAACAATTTAAAATCGTAAAATATCTGTAATATTTGGATTTTTTAAATAAAATTTTAAATTTGCTGATAAATTATAGTAGATTATAAATTGCACCACAAATAGGGGGGCCAGAAGGCGGGTGAGGCAACACGAAAAGCTAACTTTTTTTCGCAAACTTCAATTTAAATTCTGTTTGCGCCGAACTTGTCTATTTAATGTCATTATAAACTATTAGAAATTTGGTGTGGGTTGCATTTCTAATAACTGAGATATTGGTATACCCAAAGTCCACCAGCCGCCACTGTTTCTATATAGACTTAAAATAAAAATTATTATACAAAAAAATTAAATAGACAATATTTATTTAATACCTGAACAAAATTTGTATAACCTCATTTAATTTTAAATAAAAAAACTGCAATTGTACAAGTTGAGGTTAGTTGTTTTTATTTATAATTTTATTTTTAGGTAATAATACTTTAATGATCTATAATGCTGACCTAAGTGATTCGGGAGAATATACATGTGAAGCCGTAAATTCAATATCACAAGACTCTAAGAAAATTTATGTATCTATAGAAAGTAAGTATTTTAACTAAGTTAACTTTAAGCGTAATGTAAGAAAAATTAAATTTGAGCTTTTTATTACAAAAAAATTAAATAAAAAGTTTTGGTACAATAAAAAGGTTTTAAAATAGTAAATTAAGCTTGTAAGCTTAAAAGCTGTTTATTATACAAAGATAGAAGCTAATAATAAAAATATACCTAATTTATTTATTTTTTCTGAATTAATTTAAGTTCATAAAACAAGTAAAACCCGCAACCTAAAAAAGCTTTTTTAAAATTTGTATTTAAAAAAAAACAAGTTTTTTTTATAGATGTAGGTACATATCTAGGTTTGATTCTTAATAGCGGCACAACATGTTTGGGACAAATTGACAACGTTTGTAGCAAAATAAACAAAGCATATATGTCTTGGTTAAGTACATCCAGAGGCGGATTATCCCTAAGGCAAACTAGGCACGTGCCTAGGGGCGCGAGGTTACAGGGGGGCGCGATGTTTGATAAAAACGCAAGGTATTTATTGAAGAAAGATTTACATCTTATTGGTTTGATTATTTAATCAGCACGCGCACGTGAGTTTTGAAACGAAGAAATTAATTAACATAAAATTAAAATTGAGTATGAGTATGAGTATAAGGAACGTATGGCAGGCCCCATCGGCACACCTTACACTGATCTCCCAGGGTTATTTCACCCCCTTTCAGTTCTCCTACTTATCCCGCCACTGAACAGCATTACCCGTGTTTGGTGGATCCGCATTTTCACTATGGTTGGTAAATCTCGCCTAGGAGGTCATGGATGACAGTGTGGATGGTTAAGGCCACTCCCGGAACTTTTTCGCCGGGCCGGGCCATACGCCCGATTTAGGCTAGTGGAGTACGGGACAAGGAGGCAAAAGTACAATCTGGAATCCCCCTCAACCAGGGATTTTGTAATGCCCCCATTTAATTGGGGTTCATGAACGAGGTTTAGTTGGTTAGTTAGGACTATCTTTGCTGGTCTTGTAGTCTGCTGAAATTCGGAAACTGTTGTGAGCAATTGTTTGGCCCACTGTGCGAAAACCGTTTCCTCAGTGTAGGGGTCGAAAACTATCGATAGATAGTTGTCTTTATTTTGTTGTAGAAATTGTAATTACGTTTTCTTTTTCTGTTCTAATCATTAGAAGTTACATTTATAATATTTATTCTATATAATTGCTCTTAACTATGCTTTTTTTAATTCTCTTATACAACTATCAGCATGCAATGCCTAAAATTTAGAGGGGTTTAGTGGTTTAGGTTTATGTTAGGCAAATATCGAAACTGGTTGTTTATTTTATTTTCGTTCGTTAAGTTTTAAACATGTTAATTTTGTTGGGGCTGGCCTCTTAAGTTTATGCTTATTTATGTTTTATGACGTTCTTACCTAATGATTGAATAATTCACACTGTTACGCTGTTTTCAGTAATAATGATAATGATATGATAATATAATCATAATTATTGTTAGGTTTTTGTTACGAATTTGCTTATTAGGCCATGCGATTAATTGGTACTATTAGGCCATCAGATTTTTTCAGAAGATGACCCCTTCCACTCTAGGCTAGTTTGTTCCTCACATAAGGTGATTCATATTGGCCTAGGGTTAGATCTTCAGGTATGCTGTCATTTACTACTTAATTACTTCCGTGTCCGTATGGTCTTTATTCACTATATTCACTTGTTGGGGTTGCTTTATAATGCACTAATTTAATGTTTCTATTAAGACTTTGGACAACAGGTACACTGATTTTCGTTGTCCAAGTAGTAAATCTTTGCACTAATTTCACCCATTATTCTCCTTAAACTACACTCTATATGAGCGATTTTTATGTTTCCTTAAAACTTATTATTAGGTACACTTAAGAGCGATCGAATTCGAGAGCACATTTACTCGACTGGCCGTCTGTATTGGTACTCCTAATTAACATACACTTAAAATTAACATGTAAAAGATAAGTTAATTCTATAGAAATGTATATCACATATTTCATTCACGCCTAAGGGTAAGTACACGTGTCCTGGCCTATACCTAATTATAAGTATACGCCAGGACACGTTTACTTACCCTAATAATATTATAACTGCGAAAGTGTGTGTGTTACTTCTTCATGCAAAAACTACTAAACCGATTGTGATAAAACTTGGTATGTAGATAGCTGGAGACCGAAATTTTCACGGTATGGGGCATCACGCGGGTGAAACCGCAGGGCACAGCTAATCATTATGTAAGTACTAGTTAAAATTTATAATATAGGGCCGTTAAAGGGGCGCCGATGAGGTGCTTGCCTAGGGCGCTCTCGACATTTAATCCGCCTCTGAGTACATCTCTTAAATTTAATATAGCAATATATTCTTTGCTATATTAAATTTAAGAAATTTACTTAACCAAGACCAGTTATTAAATGTTTATTATTCTCTAGGCTCACAGTGGTCCTCGACTAGCCATGGGTTTTATGAAAATGGCGCCAAAAAATAGGTTCAGATATTAGGCATGTATATCAAGGTTACAAAAACGCTGCAAGTCAAATCATAGCTGATCATAAAAATATGTTTTTGTGATACTTTTATTTATGTTTACATTTGACCATTGTTTTAAATTAATTTAAAGAATTGGCACATAATTGGTGATCACAAAAGTTTACATATAGGTTCATCGATAAGTTGGCACTGAAATATTTGATTAACTTGTCAGATGTCAGCCTAGGTTTGGTCTAGGGTTGTCAGTTACTGTTTGCCTTAAAACACAAATCTAATATTTTTTTTCGGTTTTATTGTTAATTTTATGATAAAATGAACCCTATTGAAATTGTAAGCAACCATGAGCATAACAGCATGTGGGCAGAAAATTATTATGGGTAATACAAAATCGTCGAAATTTTTAATTACTGTTCCCAATTTCAATTTCCATCTGCAATACTTGTCGCCATGGTATCTCAAAATTTTAAAGCCAATTATTATGTAAAATTGTCCCCTGAATCCGAAAATACCGTCAAAAATTATAAAAGTTTAGCAGTTTTTCAGATATAGTCAATTCTATATTAAATGGAAAATTGACTATATCTCAAAAACTGTTCTACTTTTTTTAACTTTTGAAGACATTTTCGGATTCAGGGGACAATTTTACATAAGAATTGGCTGTTAATTTTTGGGATACCATGGTATTCCATGGTCAACCATGGTACAAGTGAAAAAGCCACTAATAACTATTAAATTAGTCATTTTTGAATTCATTTTTAGAGAGCTGGGCTTTCAAAGTCTCTTAAATTGCACGTCATTTTGAAACATATTACTCAATCTTTGCAGTTTCTTCAAGAAGGTGGACTTGGTGTATGGTCAGAGCAAGCAGGAGAATCTATTCATAGAGAGTTTGTCTGGAACCGATATAAAATAAATCTCTTACAAGATCCTTGCTATCAAATCCAGTTAAAGAAAGCTGTTGTTGAGTTCTCCTCTAGACATTCAAATTCAAAATTCAAATTCAAATTCATTTATTTCGAAGCATAGATACAATACTTACATATATAATACATACACACAAATTAGTATATACTAATACCAGGCATTAAATACCAATATACACATCAATATCCCGGGAAGTACCTAAGCATAAATGGTTGTTTTGCATCTTCCCAAGAAATAAAATGTGTATCATATAAAGAAAATATTTTTTTTTTAATGAATGGGTTGGCGTGTATTATTAGACAAAATGCAATCAAGTATATTAGAGCAAGTTAGAAGTTAAAAATAAAAAAAAAATAAAAGAGTAAACAAAAAAAAAAGACATATCAATATTAAATCTCAGCAACATTCAAGTAAAGCGTTGCAGAAGTCTTTGTTTTGCAATAAGAAGGCTTTTATATCTTTTTTAAATTTATTAAGACTTTTAAAATTTTTAATTGCGGTGGGAACGGCGTTGTATAGTTTAGGACCAAAGTAGAAAAATAGATCTTTGCAGATGTGATAAAGGTATAACCACTTCATTATTTTCTACTCCTCTTGTGTTATATTTATTTGAAATCTTAATTTGATTTGTTCCTTACATCCATATTAGGCATTGTAATTTATAGAGATTTCTAATATTCAACGTGTTTGCCTCGGTGTACAATTCACTTGTTGAGTACTGTTTATTCTTTTTTAATATAACTTTTAGAATTGAGTTTTGAGTTGTTTGCAGAATTTTTAAAACATTGTTAAACGAACCTCCGCAAACAGTTATACAATGTCTCAAATTTGATTCACCAAGTGAATTGTAGACCGAAAACAAACATTTACGATTCAGTACATCTCGCAAATTATAAAATTTGTTTATTAGAAGTCTTAATTTGTTATTAATATATAATGGTCATTCCATCGCAAATGTTCGTCAATTACTACACCTAATTATTTAATTTTAGGTACTTTACTTATTTTAGGACAATTACAATTTGTTATAGAACATTATAAATATATAGTTCATTTGTACTAGCTTGGTCTGTGGTAATGGAGAACGTAATATATTTAGTTTTTTGGGCGTTTAGACTTAATAAACTACCCGACAACCAAGAGTGAATTTTTGATAAATCACTCTCTGCTTTACTGCAGACCTGTTCCCATATATGTGAATTTGTTTTGGTCAATAACCTTTTTTCACTGTAAAAATAAAAAGTACTTTTTTTAAAATTGTAGGAATCTAAAGGGTATGTAAAAATGCGAAATTGTTACATTCATAAAATAAGTTAATGATCAGCTACGGTTTTACTTGATGAATTTTTGCAATGCTTATAGATATACCTATCAAAATCCGAACTCATTTTTTGGCGCCATTTTCATACAACCCATGGCTAGTCGAGGACCACTGTGGGCTATAGTCCTTTGTCATATAATGTTATATTGTGGGGTGAATGCGAGGGGTGAGAGAGAGTATTTATTGCCCAAAAGAAAATCATATGCTTAATATTTGGTCTCAATCATGTACATTGCACAATCCTGCAGAAAAATCGTTAAAGAGAGAAACGTTCTT